AAAGATATAAACACTCCAAGGAATGAAACATAGATCTTTTACTATGTGTGAATCATGAATTCGTGTTCCTTTTAACTAAAAATGCTTAGCTGAAGTGGTCTGTAATGTATAAACCTTCACGTTTTGCAATATCGGTCCTTGTGGCAACAACCCTTGTGTGTGTTTCTGTGTGTGTCTGTGGGATTTGCATGTGGGTTAGTGTTTCCTGTGTGTGTGGGGAGGGGTCTGTGGGGTCGTGGGGCTGGGTTTTAAATTCTATAACCATTGATTTCTTTTTCAGGAAATATATCCAAACCTTTGCTTCATTTTACTCACAGGAGCGAGGAGCTGGGTTGTATTTTTTGTCTTCTCTTTTACAGATGCAGCTGGTCATGCCACAAACAGTAAAGAATAAAACTGTGGATAATAAAGGAAGTAACTAGAATGGTCCGCTCTGCTGAAAGCAGGTCAGCAGGTACTCACTAGGGCAGGCCCCGCACGACGGGGGCACAGAGCAACCTCAGGTGTGGTCTCTCTTGGCACCAAACTTCCCAGTGTGGGCAGTCAGGCATAAATGAACACGTGGACTTTTAATATAAGACATGGACAAGTATAAAACATGAAATAACAAAGGAGGATAATGGTTTGCAAATGGCTGTTAAAAACAGGTGACCTTATTTTCCTCACCAGAAATCATAATGGATAACGTGATAAGTAGAAGCACTTGTGAAAGTGGGGGGCACAGTATCTGGACAGTCTCAGAAGACCCAGGACATGTGACTGCTGTGGTGTTGGGCGCTGGGCACTGGGTGCTAGGCTCTGGGCACTGGGCAGTAGGCTCTGGGCGCTGGGCAGTAGGCTCTGGGCGCTGGGCAGTAGGCTCTGGGTGCTGGGTGCTGGGCGCTGGGCAGTAGGCTCTGGGTGCTGGGTGCTGGGCAGTAGGCTCTGGGTGCTGGATGTTGGGTGCTGGGCAGTAGTCTCTGGGTGCTGGATGCTGGGTGCTGGGCAGTAGGCTCTGGGTGCTGGATGCTGGGTGCTGGGAAGTAGGCGCTGGGTGCTGGGCAGTAGGCTCTGGGCGCTGGGTGCTGGATGCTGGGCGCTGGGCAGTAGGCTCTGGGTGCTGGCCCGGTGGACAGCATGAGATATATCTGAAATGAGGAGAAGACTAGTAGAGAATTGGGCAGGAACGAGCCTGCAGAGAAGAAACGAGGACTGGATTATGGAAGGCCACACAGAAGCTTAGAGAAAACTAAAAGACATCCCTCAGGAAGACTCAAGACTCCCGTGTCAGCAATAAGAAACCAGGAAAATGTGGTACCATGGCAGAGACGGTGCTCTGCAAAGACACACGACGTGGCACCGCTGTGGGCTGAAGGCCAGTGAGGACATAGTTTCAAACTTTTAAGCTGGAGACAACGGGCTGGGGTCTGAGTGGAAAGAAGGTGAGGGACATTTGCAGAGACGAGCTGTCAGGAAAGGGTTCTGGTTTGCTGGGTAGAGAAGGAGTTCAGTTTTGAGGTCATGGCAGGGCTGTCCCGCCAGCATCTCGGAGGCAGTGGAAGGGCACGAGTGACCCAGCAGAGGTGTTAGATGTGGAAGGAATATGTGCTGGGGAGGCTCAGGTTGAGGCTGTGCAAAGCCAAGGGCGTGCACAGCGAGAGAGACCAGAGGAGCTGAGGGCAGCACCCGGGACAGACAGGCGTTGTGAAGAGAAAGCCCCGACGGAGAGCGGCCTGGCAGCCTGCAGGGGCTGGGAGCCGGCAGCTTCTGAGAGGGGCCGCTGGAAAAGACCTGGCAACCATGTCCCCCTGACGTTTAGGAGTGCAGCGCCAGGAGACCGGAAGTGATTTAGAAAAGGAAAAGGTAGAGAAGAAACGTGCCTAGACCAATTGTTGTAGAATAAAGTATGTGTGTTGGCAGGACAGTGAGGGCCACGAAGGAGCCACATCTGAGGACCTGGGAAGGAAGAGGGCTCACTGTGCGTGGGGAGATGCGTCTCAGGGGAGGTGGAGACTTCCGGCCTCATCTACAGGGACTGTGTGACAACCGAGGAAGGAGTGGCAGGGATGTTGCCCCAGCTTTCTGTCACAGGGTCGGGGACACAGCCCTGTCCTGCTTCTGCGCTCTCCTAACCCCCCAGCCCAGGACCCCCCATCCTAACACTGCACGGGGGCACCGGCCGAGGTCCAGATCTGACTGCGACCAGAGGGAGGAGGAGGCCTGCAGGCCGGGACGCCCGGAGAGGAAGCTGAGACGGCTCTGAGACAGCACGAGGGAGCGAGGACGGGGACACACAGCCGAAGAAGTCCGAGATGAAGGCGGAAGCTCGGCTCTCGGCAAAGCGAGAGCAGACGCGGGAGTGAGGGGCGTGGGGAAGAGTCCAGACTGACGGCGCTCTGGCCATCTGCTGGGAGGTTCACTAGTCACAGGACAAAGAGGTCGGGCTGCGGCTCTACACACGCAGGGACAGCCTGCGCGAGCAGCACCCCCATGATTTATGGCGCAGCAGATGGTGAGACTCACCCTGAGAACGCATGCTCCATATGAGGGCAAGAAGCTGGTGGGGTTCAGGCGACTAACGGAGAAAAACTCAGCAGCTGCCTACAGGCTGCAGGCGTGGTTTAGAGACGCAAGGTAGATCAGAAGCAGAAATTAGAGGTCACGGGACTAGACGAAAAAGGCAGCACAAGCAGGGATGGCGGAAGGGAGCAGAATGGCTGGAAAGGGTAGCACGGTTGTCAGTGGGACACATTTCAGAGCCTGAGATCTTAGGAGTGAGTGAGTGGGCATGGAGATGTCAGAGAAATTGTGAGACTAGGGCCCTCGATGCAACAAAAAACAGATGTTGATGTCACTGAGGATGACAAGAGAACAAAAGTGAAGGAGCCCTGGAGACATGTACTAACGTCCAGGAGGGAGACAGAGGGGACCTACAGGCAATGGGTGCCAGGGGGTGGGTACGTAAAGGCCCTAATTACTGTCAGTGGCCTCTAACTGGAGAAGGAGACCTGTCTGGACGCAGGAACACTGAAGTGCTTCTGTACCTCTTCAGAAGTCTTGAGACATGTAGATGGCACAGTCACTCCCCACGTCCCAGTCCATCCTTTGGAGGAAGTAGACCACGGTGCTTTCCAGCAGCAAGCCACTCAAGATGGCCAGAAAGGAGACCTTTCGGCAGGTGTTCAGGGTCACTGCAGAAGAAGAGGTAAGGTCCTCAGAGTTTACTTACATGCTGCTGTAATTATCAAATGACATGTAAATTATGGGGTAGTCGGAATGGAATTGTTTTGTGAAGCTGTTTTTAGAAAATCTCTATTTGTTCCTATTAATCTATGCTGTTACTGTCTCCCACTTTTCTAACTGCAAACCTTTTGAGAGAACCAAAGTATCTGTGTATAACAAAAACACTCCTGAAGTCAAGACATAGATTTCCATTGATATTGAAGGGAAAATAAAAAAGAGCAGAAAAAAATTGATACTCTTGGCTTTACAGTTGGCAAGATGATAAGCATTATGACAAAAAGTATCAGGTAACAGCATTTAAAATAGCACTTGTCACAACGTGTGGGAAAACGAGGACACACAGGGTGGCCTGTCCTTCCTGGGTACGGTAGGAAGGGTCCTGGCTTGACCACTGCCTGACCATAGCTATGTGGACCACTCATTCATAAGTGGAGTTGAGTGGCTGCCCTGCTAACCCCTCAGGATAGAGATAACGCATGTGAAAGCATTTTGAAAACTAAATATCAATAGTACCATGTGGTCACACTGAACAAATACTGAATATCTGCTATATATAAGGCACTAGGGCAATGTTAGGCCTTGTCATTAGTCTCTGAAGATTTCTAGTGTTTAACAGGTTATCTAGAAATAACGCCATAAGCTTCTATATGGGTCGACAGCTGAGAAGATGGAATGAGACACAGCATACCTCGGATTGCCTGGAAGTTGGACGTGAGGACGAACACCTTGATGAGCCGCAGGCACAGCGGCGTGTAGTCGTGTTCCCAAATGACAGCTGGGATCAGCAACAGCTTCCCGTAGCTCGACAACAGCAATGCTTTCAGCAGCAAGATGAAGTTGGGCTTTTTCTTTTCTGTGATGGGTCGTTCTACCCACAGGAAGGTAAAAATGCCAATAAAAAAGGCAGCTTGTTCTGAGGAGGAAATGGAAGACAAAAATATGAATGTCCCTATCCAAACCATATTCCCCTGAAAACAAATAAACCACATCCCAAAATACAGGTCATCAGCTGACTTCATCAAGAAACACTTTATAAAGATCAAATTTTCTTTTTTTCCTTCCTCTTTTTTTCTTTCTCTCTCAAATAAACCGCTGCCTTTTATGGCAAATCTTGCTGGTATGGTTTCAGAAATATATTTCAACAATTCTTTCATGAAGTATTTCATCATCCACTAGAACTGTAATCATCCATTTTCTGAAGTTCCTTCTTGGAAGTAAGACTCTTAAAACGTCTTTGGTGCTGGAGATCTCCACAGAGAGAATACAGAACAGAGGCTTTTCAGTCTGGGAGATGGGGCCCATCCTAACAGCTATACAAGAAGATGTTTCTCTTTGTTCATTCTTCCACTATCTATTGAGTGCCAATTATCTGCAGGGTTGGGAATACCTAAATAAAAAATTTCCCTTATTGATTTTAACAAGCTGAGTGCAACTCCTCATCCCCCCAAGTAGTCAGTCAGTCATTCACGACCAGAAGAGGCAAAGGTCCCACTGGTGTCCCACGTCAGAATGGAGCCAGGGCGTGCTGTTCCCACTAACTAGGAATTGAACATCTCTCTTCACTGCGTTATTATTTTTATTAAGAGGTTAGTCCTCTGATTACCCAGCTGCACATGTTTTGAGTGGCCTGTCCCATAAGCTGTGTTGTTTCGGTTTCTGTAGAGTGAGGTTTTTTCTGGAACACATATATCATCACATTATAGGAGAAACATCTGTATTCTTCCGAAAATGTTTAATAACTGAATATAGTCAAACTAAAGAGGTTCCAAATAGAGGCGAGTAGAATCCATAATGTAGAATGGTTAGCCTACATGAAATTTGATATATTCTTCAGGGGACACGTGTTATCTCCCTTCAAAATGACAGAAGGGCTTGTCAATGGCAAGCATTTGTTCTCACAGGACGCTCTTATAGCCTGAGGTTTAGACAAACAGTAAAATTGGAGACACTAAAAAGGCTGGACTACCATGCGGGACGCCAGCGAGAAGGGCTTCTTGCACTGGCGGAGATAACCTCCACACCCTCCTACTCAGAACGTGGGAGGGGTAGGAAACTGCACCAGCCCCGGGCTCTGCAGCTTCCCACGTGGCAGGTGCCAGGCAGTCCCCCCCTGAGGGCCTGCGCCCATCAGGTGGGTTCAGTGGGAGCTGCCGCCTGCCCACCCACCAAGTGCAGGCCGCAGTGGGGACACAAGGGATGGGGGCCCGAGACCTTCCTGGCCTCGTGCTGACGCTCCCCCGCTGTGCGGCTCCTGGGAAATCACTGGTCCTTCCTACAGCTGTACACAGGGCAGAGCTCCCAGCCTACCCACCAAAGAGGATGGTGGTGACAAGTGAGCTGATAATACCATAAAAGCAGTGCTTGAATGATAAAATGCTATATTTATATGAGATATTTTTATAAGCTGTTTTAGGGGTTTGTAACCTAATTATGGATTAGATTAAGACACACAAAAAACTAACAATAGAAATTTCTGATTGAGTATCAAAATATCTACTATAGAGTAGGTCCTACAAGAATTCCAAACTATTTGAGAACAAGCTTGTTTTGTTTCTTTTTTAAATTATGGACATAAAGCAGTTTATCTTTAGAAATTTGAAAAGCCTTTGCTTTATAGTTTAAAATTATATTAGGTTCTAGTTCTTGGCTTAGGGGATGTGTTCAAAGATATTTTTAATATTATTCTGTACATTTGGGAATTCTCAGCATATACATGAATTTTAAAACCACAGGACTGGATGAGAGGAGTTGGGGCAGATAGAGAAGAGGACAAAAGAGGACATACAGGGCAGAAATATGCCACTGGAGCGGACTGGAAACTTAATACTACTAACATAATGTCCCATTATAACCAAAGAATTTGAGAACCAGAGAAGTATGGAAACAAGTAAGTAATAAAAGTCACAAAAATTAATTCAACACAATTCTGACCTAAGTCACACCTTCAAATACTGAAGACAGGCAATTCCTGAACTTAAGGAATTTGGGGGAGTAGCCAGCGTCCCTGACAGCAGTCAGAGAAGCAATACGTGTCCCCGTTAAATACATCATGTTGGTACAAGGACATTAGCATAATACATTGGCTAATGTCTAGCAATTATAATCTGTTTTGATAAAGATGGGACCTCGGTCATCTTCAGATTGGATAATTAAAACTTCCGTTTAAGAATTTTATCAACAATATTATGTCTCAAAATAGTTTATGAAACTCTCTAATCTGATAATATCCATTAGATGGATAAGACCCTCTAATCTAATCTGATGGTATTTCCATACCATACTTGTAGTAACAAAAAAGTAACAAAACAGATAATTTAGACAAACTCTTCTAGCAGGTTAGTGGTAGAGCTGAAAATTTTGGCTCAATTCCTATACAAACTAGCTCCTCTTACCAACCATCAAGACCACGTGTCTTACACCACAAGAGTGAGTACGGTTTAGCTGAGATCAGAAAGCATGGCTTGTTCCTACCTAACGAAGCAATTGCAAACAGTCTATAGAAATCCCACTCCTTGGCGTATCGGATGAAGTCATCAGGGTCGGGGTTCTGGGTCGAGTCTTGGAGCTGCCACCATCTCAGGTATGCTTCACAAAGCAAACAAAACATGCAGAGCTTTCCATGAAGCTGGTGGTCAGAGAAACAGTGCCATTCAGTTAGGTAACAACTACGTATTGTCCTTACAATCAACAGGCACATATTAGACATAGGAGGGATGTAGTTTGTACTATCCACACAAACAAGCACAGAATTTACGTGACTCATGGACAGGTGGAAGTAGCAGTAAGAGAACAGATTTAATCTGAAGAGTCCATGATAAGAAACTATTAGTCTGAACAGGAATTTTTTAAAAATGCCCCTAGGCTAGATGAGTTATAAATAATACATTGAAAGACAGCAAGTAAAAGGTGTAAATCAGTTAGAAATTCTAGAGTCTGAAATTTTGGCAAAACAGAAAATACCAGGTAACAAGAACTGGCTTTTTGCTAATGTTTCCCCTACGGTTTGAATTTTATTGATACAAAGTGGGAACCACAAAGCCAGTGCAGTCCAGGGATGGGTATCATATGGGCTTCTGAGCCCCTGCAGTTGCACACTGGGGCTCCTGCTGGTGTGAACCCCCTGGGGACTTTTCAGAAACACTGAGGCCTGAATGCATCCCCAGAGTCTGATTTAATTGGTTTTGTTTGAGGCTTTGACATGGAAGGATTAACTCCCTCTCTCCCAGGCAAGATTTGAGAATCAATGCTCTAGCAATTTAAAAACTGCACTGGATCTCTAACTTCAGGGAGGGAGCACAGGGATAGATAAATTGCATGGTTATTGTCCATGTTGGCTCAAAGTTAGGGTTGCCAGATTTAGCAAGTAAAAATATAGGACACCCAGTTAAATATGAGTTTCAGATAAACAACAAAAAATTTTTTTGTATACATGTGTTTCATGTAATATTTAGGACATATACTAAAAAAAATTATTTGTTGGTCACCTGAATTTCTAATTTAACTGGGTGTCCTGTGTTTTCTGTCAACCTGACCCAAATTATTAAAGAGTTGACAATCCAATACACTAAGTGTGTATTCTGAAAAACCCACCGTTACAAGTTAGGACTTTTTGGATTATGCTCAATGTTGTCATTCACGTCAGAAATTCCCTCAAGAGCAAAGGATAACATGCAATGAATTTGTTTTTAAATATTTTTATTTTAATGTTTGCTTCTTTTGGGTGTAATTCTCTCCTTACATGGATATAATTAACTTTATTCTGTTAAAAGTAATTGATGTCTGTTTCAAAAGGTAACCTACTAAAAGGTGGCGACCCAGGTTCTGTTCTGTCGGTTTCCTACCAGTGACCACATTCCTAAATAGTCACTAAACATTGTGCACTTAAAAAAAAAAAATCAATGCCTGCTATTTCTAGAAACTTGCATACATTGTCAAGATGAAAGACCCACCCTCATTAGAATTTTTAAAAAATAATGTTCTTTAATTCTGTTCAAAATTATTATTTTAAAATGCAAAAACATCAAGTAAAATTAGAAAATTATTATTCTTTTAAAATGCAAATACATCATCAAACAAAATTAGAAAATAAAAAAAATTATCACAACTTACGTTTATTTCAGTATTGAAAAGAATATGTCTGTAGGCCTGGGCTTTGCACAAAATAGCATTAATCAAGATTATAACAGGATCATACTCGACATATTTGTCTACAGGTTTCTGGCAAGATTTCTGAAATAATGCAAGATAATATTAGCACAAGCAAATTCATACATTGTGAAATCTTAAAGGGTTTCAAAACAAACAGCAGAGTCTATTTTGGATTTGTATAGTAATAAGGCCATATCAGCACTTATTTAAATAAACTCCCATTCAGATATAGACTGTTCATCTATACAACACCTGATTTTAGAAACGACTAAATATAATCTTCTAGGCTAGAAATGTTAATATTTTAATCTCATATTTAAGAATCTGAAACATATTTGATTTAAAATCTGATTTTAGGCAGAAAAGTATTCCAGAAAATTCTTTTAATTTGTAGGCATTGTAGTAAATTTCTAGTGTACTTTCATTGAAAAATTGTTGCCTGTTGGCTCGATGGCCCCCAGCTTTGTGGTCCTTAAAACATGATGTGGAGAAAAGGGTTCAGAAAAGTAACCCTGTACCCAGAGCTTCTGAGAGCACAAAGCGGTAACGAATATGGCAGTGCCAACAATCCAGGGGTGGGAGACACTGACAGAAGCCTGTTTTTTCCTCTAAAACATTGAGGATATGGGAAGAAAATGGTCCTTCTCTGTTCCAGTCGAGAGACACTGGAGAGTGCCGGGCTGTGTGTAAGGAGCTGGCTTGTGCAGCCTGGTTCTAGGCTACCCAAACCAAGGCTCCCTGGGCTCTCAGCAACTCCTATTAAGTGTTTTTTATTTTTTGGACACAAGTAATTACAATGTTATCAAATCCCAACACCATTAGAACATGTAAAATGTAGCTGTACAAGAGCAAGCTCATTAGAAATGGGACACTTGAAACAGTGTTAGTTACAAAGTTGCATCACTGTGTAAACTAGTGGCTATAATTCAGACACAAAACATTTTGAAATTTCCAGAGAATGAAAGAAATAGAAGTGATGGATAGGTAAACATTCTAGGATGGGTTTTAATTTAAACATCGAAGTGTAGAAGAAACAAGAAGTGCACCCAAGAGCACTAACCCTGCACCCCAAATGGAAGGAAACTTCAGATTCACTTCCACTTTACAGAATTTCCCCACCTCATTCATGTCATTCCAAGAAATGGCTATGTTTGTCCAGTCATCAAGTGAACCAATGAAGGGACATGTGCCAGTGCCTCAAATTTAAACCCACTTAATAATAAAACTGAGGCAGAAGAGGTTCGTAATTCCGCAGCCTTTTTGCTGAGCAAAGAGTAAGCCCATGTGTCTAAACAGAAGCCACAGAACCAGAAATTCTACGTTCATGACAAAGAGCTGTTTTCTATGGGGTTGTTGGAAAAGTCATGATGCATTTTTGCAATGAAAAACATAGAAAAAATATGTCATGACTTTTCCGACAACCCAACAGATCCCGTTGCTGAGCTCCCCGTACGGAGACTACCTCCTCTCTTCAGAGGAACAAGAGTGGAAGACCAGAAATGAATGCTACATGCTACTTCATTTCAAAATGAAACCGTGGGCTGCTCATCTCTCTCTGTCCTTTAAAAGCTCTTTAAAACCCATCTTCAGACATCATCACAAGTCTTAGATGGGATCTGGGATTTTAAGGAAGTAGGCAGAAATCAGCAGCAGGAGGTGCAGCAGTCACTTGTCTGACAAACATTTTGGAGTGGCTGGTACATCCCTAACCACGGCTCTCTACTTGGCCATCTCTATGGACCAGGCACTTCCCAGGTGTAAGATGAGACCTACGTCTCTATCCTTAGGGACCTCACAGCTTACAACGGATGGCAAATAAATGTGCCACTGTAGGTGCTACCATGGGATAAGCCCAGGGTGACATGAGCCCAGACAGAAGAGGCAGCTTCTGGTATCATGTGACAGGCTCTGTGCTGTGCCTGTCTCCCCTTCTTAGCATCCTGAGGATTTCATAAACATTGCGAGTTCATTAACTAGTCTGCTGGTTCCCTCCCTAACAGTTTAGGCCTAATGTTTCCTTGTCCTGTCTCTATTATTTGCCTTTCCCTGAGTGCTTCCTTCACCTTGAATGTAAGGGGTAAAACCATACACAGACAAAACAAACAGATGTAGAACATCCTATTGGGAGATAGCTAAATTTAGTACTTTTTTCTTTTACCTCGGCAAAACTGCTCTAATCCACATCATTTACTACTTAACAGGCAGTATCCTGAAGGATAAACTTGTCCTCTAATTGCTACAGCACAGGGAACAAGTGCGTCCTGGGGACGCAAACGCTTCCACCACCTCTATCTTAACACGATATGATTTACTTGATGCTGCCGTGTTCTCCAGCTCCCCAGTGAATCACATCTCTTTCAGAATATAAACTGGCTAATTTTTTTCTTGAATATTCTTGCTGCTTCTTCCTTCCCATCATCTCTAGGACGACCCCCTTCCCCATTCATTCTCAAATCTGTTTAATTTTAGCTCCATAATAAGCAAATACTTATCTTAAAAGTGGACCCCACTAGAATTTAAGCTCAGGGCCAGGGCTGTGTCTTATTCTTGTTTGAACCCAGCATCCAGAGGTGGAAGCTGGATACTGTAGCTAAATGGAGCTGACACTTATGAGAATCTCAAAGGAGTATTGTTTTGTTTTGTTATCATAATGACTTTATCAAATATCTGAGCACTTAAAATAGGCCAGGCACTATAGGATATTAAAAGCACTGTATCTTCAAGTATAATTATAATAAACTGTGAAATGCTGAAACAGAGGGGATGGCTAAAGAGACATGCTTCCAGTGGATGGAGGAAAGTTAGGGAAACGCAGAAAGGCAAGCTGGGAGGAACGGCAACAGTGAAACAGGAACAGCACAGGGAAGGGAGATCAGGATGAACAGTGCAGGCAGGAGATCAGGCCAGCTCCACACACGGAGGGAAGAGACCCAAGTGCATATGAGTTACTGGCCGTAAGACCGCTTAGAAACTGGATGCTTTTTTCCCAACAAATAGCCTAATGTCTAAAAACTTTTTACTTTTTAATCTCAGGACTTGGAGAGCCTTTAAAACATTAATTATTTTATGGTATAATTTTTGAGTCTAGCATCAACTAATGATTTTTCCCTGAGTTACGCTATTATGCCTATTAATATGCATTAGCATGATAAAATCAAGGACATTACATACTCCATCTCATTAGGAAATGACTATGTACAATAATGAATCCATAATGTACTGTACCACCATTCAATATTCCAAATATAACTCTAAAATCTGTCTCCTGAGTGAAAGAGTGCAATGTTTGAAGGGGGAAGTGGGGGAGGGTGTAGCTGTTTACCTAAACAGCTATCCAATAATTATTTTGTCTTTCCATAAATAAAGCTATAGAGAAGCTGATCATTAGGAATGGGATTTTGTTGTTGTTAGCTTAATGCTGATAATTAAGGAAAAAAAGATTATTTTATATTATTAATGATTACTAACTAAAGTGCATAGACTAGCTTTTCTTCGGACAAAAGACTATATTCAGTGTTATGTGGCTGTCATCTTTCAGATGGATCATTTAATTGGACCAGTCCAAAAGTCATTTAAACCACATATAACGTACTGTTCTCTCCCTCGTACTAGGATTGCCAAGGACATGATCATCTAAAAAACTAGAAATGGTCATTCATTCAACAAATATTTACTGAGTACGTACTATGTGTCAGGCATTGTCCTGGGTGACCCAGCTACATTAATGAGTACAATATACATAATCTCTGTCCTTGTGTAGCTTACATTCCAGTGGGAGGAGACAGACCACAAATAATACATACGTCAATTCTACAGAACCTTAGAAGATGACAGGTGCTATGGAGAAAGAGCAGGGAAGGGTGATAAGGTGTACCAGACTGGGAAGGGGGAGCATCATTTAGTAGGGTGGTCAGAGTAGGGGTGGTCGAAGAGGGTGAGGAAATCAGCCAAGGAGAAAGGAGACGCCTGAGAGAAAAGTGTTCCAGGCGGAGCGCACAGGCCCTGAGGAAGGAACTTGCCGGTTTAAGAAACACTGGGGGGCCAGTGGGGCAGCCGTGGAAGGAGGACTGGAGAGAGTAGCTGGAGCTGGGAGAAGGCCTTCTAAGGCAGAGCAAGGATTCCAACCTGAATTCCAGGGAGACAGAAAAACTGGAAGATTTGCCCAAGGAACGGTGTCATCTAACTTACATTTTAAAAGCATCAGTCTGGCTGCTGTGTGAAGAGGCTGAAGAGGTGCAAGGCTGACACAGGGAATCAGTTTAGAGTTATGCTAATATTCCAGGTGCGACGTGATGGTGATATATACCATCATCGTGGGGGTAGAGGTCGTGGAACTGGGATGTAATTTGAAGGGAGAGCTAACAGGATTTGCTGAGCAACTAAAGAAAGAATGTGAGAGAAAGACAAAACTCAAGGATGACTCCAAGGTTTCCTTGGTCTTAAGAACTAAAATGGTAGAGTTTCCATTAACTGTGCAAGTTTGAGATGACTATTGAAATCCAAGTGGAGAAGTCCAGTAGGCAGTTAGATGTTTGGGCCTGGAGTCTAAGGAAGAGGTTCAGGTTGAAGTATACCACAATGTGGGAACTGCCAAAATTTAGATAGAACCTAAGGCCATGAGTCAGAATGGCTCCTCAAAGGCGAGTGTGTAGACAGAGGCCCAAGAACCAAGCTGGGGATTAGGAGGTAAGGGAGGTGAGGCAGAATCAGAAAGGGTGAGAGAAAATAGCCAGTTAGCTAAGGAGAAAACTAGAAGGGCATGGTGTCCTGGCAAGTGCACAAGGGGTTTCCAGGAAGAGGATGTAATGAGGTCAAATCCTGTGGCTGGTTAACTGAGAATGGGCTAGCCAAGTGCAAGTCAGCGGTGATCTTAACAAGAACAGCTTCTAGTGAAATGGTGGGTGGAAAGAAAGTCTGAAGTAGATTCAAGAGAAACTAGGAGAGAAAATAAACATATAAGCACAAATATCTCTTAAAGGATTTCTGCGGTCAAAGGGAGGAGAAAAAGAGCATGAGCTAAAGGAGGAAGTGGGGTCAAGCATATTTTTTTAATGGAGGAAATAATAGTGCTTATGTTGGTGGGAGTGATGCAGCAGGGAGCACAAGGGTACTGTTTCAGGGATGTCCTTAAGTAAGTGGAAGAGGACGGCATCCAGTGCAAGGGGGAGGCATTGCTTTAGACAGGTATTCCAACAGTTCATCCACAGTGATGGAACGGAAGACAGAGCAGATGGACAACGAATGCTAGTACTACTGGGTTTATGCGGTTGCAAAGCTTGTGGAAGTTCTGTTTTCTTAGCAAAGCAGGAGAGGATATATGGGAATCTTGAGGAGAAGGAATGTGATGATTGTTCAGAACAATTGAGTGTGAATGGCTAGTGAAACATAAGGTGATCGCCAGATGGCATCAACGGCCCACGAGGTTAGTGGTTATGAATTTACGGCATGTTTCCCCAGCAATGTACAGCTGCAAGAGTGTGGGGACAGATCAGGGTTGAAATTTTGCCATGTGAAGGAAACCCTTTGAGAAAGGAACAGAAATTGAGGGTGTATGCACCAGTGATTATACTAGTTGACAATAGATTAAATAGGTACATGTGCACACTTTGTCAACTCCCTTTTATATTCCTACGGGTCATGTTTTTCTAATTTATGAGAAAATCATCAGATCAGAAATGGGATAAAAATGTATTGACTACCTGTTATGTGACAGGTTCTTTGCTAGTGCCCTCAAAAGAACCTCCAAATTTATGACATTTTAAACAAGATCATTCTCTATAAATAGACTGAACATCTTGAAAGCAGAATTTTTACTTCCTCATTTTTGGTTTTCATATTCCAACATCTAGCATAGTGCTTTCTACACCACACTGTACAGTCAATAACCACAAAGGATGAAACCTGAAAAAAAAAAAGTATTTCAGGAGAATTTAATATGGCTTATGGAATGTAAGGATTGTAACACTTATCTATCAAAGGGAGGCTACCTAAGAATGAAATAGCTTTGGTGTGAACCCAAAACTCAACATAATCCGATCTTTAAATTTCTCTGCACAACACCTACATCTGTCTCCACCCGAGGATCCGTTTGCTGGGTTAGGTCTCACCCGCAAACATGACCCATATGAACAAAGCAGTGTACGGTAGTGAGTTCTCTATCACTGTTGGTATTCACGCAAAGGTTTGACAGACCTCAGACAGGTATGTCAAGCATCGGACTGAACACTGTAGTAGAGGACCCTTAAACTCGATTTTCGTCACCCTAAAGTGCTGCTACAGATTCCACTGTCTCTCAAATCTCGCCGCGCCATTTTCTTTCCAAGGACACCCCACACCTGACAACTCACGCAGATGGTTATCTTCAGAACGCCGTGGTTATAGTCTCGGTACAACTCCTTGGCCTCCTGGTTGCATTCGATGCACCTGTATTGACAGGAGGCCGAGACAGCCGTGGCAGTGGGAGTCGCCGTCACTCCCTCGGTGCTCCCCTTGCCCGCTGTCTCCCCCTCCGGAGTCCCATTGCCCCGCGGTAGCCCACCCCGCCCACCAGTGCCCATCTCCACGCCAAGGCGGCCCAGAACTTCCGATCCAGTGGCGGGGAAGACGTCAGACGCCGAAACGGAAAGCCTGCGCGGCACGGTGCCTGCTGGGATTTGTAGTCCCTGCACCAGAAAGGGGCCCCGAGGCTGGCCCAGCCGGGACTACAACTCCTAGCAGGCAATGCCACCCTCCTCCCGCCCCCTTCCCACGGCCCACCTGCCCGCCGCGGGTGAGGGCTGGGAGGCTGGTGCGCGCGGCGAGGGCCGCCGCACATGCGCCTTGAGGGAAGATGGCACCTGCCCGCTGCTACTACTGCTGCTGCTGTTGCTGCTGCTGGGGAGGCGCTGTGGCCGCCGCGAGCGCCGCGCGGCACGTCCTGGTGTTGCTGCTGCTGGGGGTCCTGTGCGCCGGGCCGCTCCCGGGCGTCCTGGCCACCGAGCACTATACGCCGCTGTCCCTGCTGAAGCAGGAGCTGCAGCACCGGCAGCAGCAGGAGGCCCCGGCAGGCGGCGGCTGCAGCCCGCAGTCTGGGGACTGGGGGGACCAGTACTCGGCCGAGTGCGGCGGTGAGTGGGAGGCAGCGGGCGGGCGTCCGGGTTGCCGCGGGGCCGGAGAAGCCGTGGGGGCTGCGAGCCCCGGGGCCGAAGTGCCGGCCGCCCGGGCCTCTCCGACGCCGCCGTGGCGTGTGTTCCTGCGCGAGCCGGCTCTGGGAGGTGTCACGCCGGGGCCGCTTCCCGCCGCTCGCCCCCTCGCCGCTGCGCGCCCTCGTCCCCTAGCCGCCTTGGAGAGGGAGGTGAATAGAGAAAAGAGCTGACCCCGGGGCGCTAACTACTGTTCAGTGGGTGGCCGAGGAAATGGCAGGTGGCCGGGGCAGCCCCGTTCCCACTCCGTTCCCGCGGTTGCCGTGGGAGCGCGGGAGGGACCGACGGACGCAGGAGGACGCGGGCCCAGCGGCGGGGCCGCGCTCGGAGCCGCGACGCCTGGCCGGTGCAGGCCTGGAAATCAGGTTTCCTGACTTCCCGGGCTGACGTCTTGTATTAAACAGTCTCTGAAAATTCGATCCCTGGAAGAAAGAAGGGAACAAAAGAGCAAGCCCGTTTTATCTGCTCGTTGACATCTTGCTTCCAGTTGTTAAAGATTGACCTATGATCCGTCAGGTGTCTCCCAGAGGGTGAAAAGGGCCTGTGTGTGTCAGCTGTGTGCGCTTGGGAACTAGGCCGGCTCATTCATTCATTGAGATGGGACGCTATTGGCCTCAGTTTAGTAAGTCATGGCAGATGACTTACTAAAGGAGCAAAATACATGTGTAGGTTTTTTATTTTGAAGTGCTGTAATGGGTCTTTTCACCCTTCAGTCCCCTCCACTTCCCTTTCCTTTCCCCCTTTCGCTGTGTGAGGTCCCTTCCTTCCTTTCAAAAGGTCTGGGCCCACCTAACGCAACTTTCATGAGGTGACTTTTATGGCCTGGCAGCAGCGTTCTTTCGCATCCTGTACCTGGGAAGACAATAAGTATTTTTTGGGTTGAGATGAGATGTCAAGATTAGCACGCTCTGATTTCCTTTTAGCACAATCTGACTTCCTTGAGGAAGTCTCACGCACTGAGGGGTATGTGACTTTGCATAGCAGGCCTTGGCTAGTAACAGCGTAAATAACACGTCCAGCTTGCATAGTGGAAAAGAAATGGCTCTTACCTCTGTCACTTTCTGTGACTCCCAACAAGTTAATTGCCTGTCTTTGCAAAATTGCCTCCTCTGTAAATCGAAGACACTATTACTTAATTACAGGGTTTTATTTTCTTCACTCGAGTGCTGTGAGGAAAATGAGAAATAGCTAGCGTGTCTGGAGTGCTTGCTGTTGGAAGGGCTTGAGGGCAATTTGCCTCTTAGTCTCAGAACACCAGAAACGGCCTCATTGCATGGCCTTCCCTTTCGTCAGATGAGCAAACGGAGGAACAGTGAAATCATCCCTTTCCTGCGGTCCCACAGCTGTGAAGGGAGGAGCCCAGGTGGTTAGGCTCCAGATAAAGCTTTGTCTTAAACACTAAGTGGTAGTAGTAGGAAAACACACCTGTAGTACTTACTAGTACTCCTTGTGTAAGTCTCCAGTTCCTCTTTCCTCCTACAGTCATGTGATGCTCACTGGTGAAAGGAGACCCAGATTCTAGGCAACGGAAGGTACCAATCAGTTTATATTATGAAATCAATTGGTGTTATTGATCTAGGTGGCTATTTCACATCTGGCTGTTCCCCTTAGCTTACTGGCCGCAGCATGTGACCGTGTGGCAGAGACTCTGGAATGCCTCTCATTCTCCCTCCTTTATCCTAGACAAGTAGGAGGAACCTCTGAACCCTGCCCCAGCTCCTCTCTGTCCTGAGAAGGACAGATGTAGGAACAAATTCAGGATTTACAACTGATCATGCTGCAGCCTGAGGGGTTCATACACTGTATCCAGAGCCCCCAAGTGATCAGCACAAGGGTCTGGATAAGTGGCAGGATCCACAACTAATCAGTTCTTCAGAATCAGACAGACCTGACCTCACCAACTATTGATCATGTCATTGTCACATGCTGGCCTGTCCAGCCCCAGGCCTATCCATATCAAGCCAGTCCCTATAGAAAGGGCAGACACAGCAGCCCAGCCTCTTTTCAGAAGCCTTCCCACAACTTTCGGATTCAAATGGATGAGTTGATGCCAGCCTGGGTCAAAAGCTGCACACCTGCTGGTGAGCTGTCTGTGCATTCTCTTAAGACGGAACCCCAGTGATTGTAGGGCCAAAGACAAAGGCTGGTGGGAGCCCATCGCTCTGCAGTGGCGGGCCGCGCGGTGTGGACCACCATCCTGTGGCGTCCAGGCCCAGTGAGCAGCTGATGTCCAGCTGCCGAGACAAACATGGATGACCCCCAGTGCTATAGTCTTAGCCTGAGCATTACTGTCCCCAGGCCCCTTCTACTTGGTCTCCTCCAGCACATTTTTACATGTCACTTTTTATTTGAAAAGCATGTATAAGCACAAACTTCTGACTGTCTCTGTTTTCCTGTGGTGGAAAGAACCTTTTACTCTTTTAAAAAATGAAAATTAATGTACATATTTTTCAAATAAAAATAAATTTGTCTTGTTACCTTTGCCTTGTTTTTAGTTTGGAATTGTGGGAAGAAATAATGAACAGAAGATTTCCCCAATTCTTTCACTCAGTTGTAAACACTATGTACATTCTTATTTAATCCTTCTGACACTGAATAGGTACTGTTTTTATCTCCATTTTATCTGAGGTGAAACTGAGAGAAGTTAGGCGAGGTTACACAGTAAACAGTAGAGTCAGAATTTGAACTTGGCCTTATCTCCTCAGTAATATTTGCATAGTATACTATCTTACTAATATTAATGATAAAGTCCTATACCCTTAAGCATGTTAGTTGAAGGTTATGTTCTTAAATAACGTCTAGAATTTTATATTTACATATGTGCAAGGATGCTTCACTGGACCTAATATTTTGACGCCAAGAGCCAGAATGGATCTGTTCTTTCTCAGAAAAGTGATTTGTGTGCCTACTAGATGCCACACAAGTGTCCTGCACCCTGGGGACACAGCACAGCTGGCTGAGCTCCTGGAGAGGAGCCTGTGCTCTGCGGGGAAGAAGGTGTGCAGCAGGCGTCGTGATAAATGCCTTGAAGGGTGAAGAGCAATGTGGGGACCCTACTGTGGGAGGTGGCCAGTGAAGGCCCCTGGTCAGGTGACCTGGATAGAGTGAGGTTTGGAGAGATTTTAGCGATGTCTTCATGCAACACCCTGATGTTACAGAGCTCATAAAGTGTGGATAAGTTATAACTTGTCCATTGATTTAAGAATTCAGGTTCTCTTCTCTGCTCTTCCTGTCAAGCTAAGCTGCACTTTATTCAAACGTGGCATTCGTCTGTATTAAACATCTTTGTGTTCTTACAAATCACCTAAGATGTATTTTAGGAGCTCAAACATGCATTTCTAGTCATTTCAAAACTTTTGTTTCTACTTTGAAAATGTGGTGACAAGAACAGTGAATTTATGTGATTTTTTTTTTCTTTTTACTGCCTTCTTGAGACTTTTTGTCCATTCCTAAGTGAGGTAGCCTTGTACTTGGTGTCTTAATGGTGGTTTTCAAATAACCACCTTCTAACTGGTGACTGTGCTGAATGCCTCAGTCAAGTTCAATGAGGAATTTACAACATGAAGTAATTTTCTTGAGTCTGTTGAAATGAATAGTCCCAGATTTGAGTTTATTTTACCTTAGTTCTTTGTGGAGAAAAGAGCATTAGTGTGTCTGATTTGGGAGTTAACTGCCAGAAAAATAAGGAAGTAGCTGTCAGCCTGGCTCTCTGTTTGACTAAGGCAGTAAAACTCCAAGGTGGTGAGTGTACGTGATATGTTCTTAGTGAGGACTCAGTAGTTGAGACACCCCAAATCGGCCTCCCTGCTCTCTGTGCTGACGTCATTGCTGGGCCTCAGAGGTGAGAAGAATCAGGGGAGGGACATTTTAATAACGAGAGCGATTTCCCTTTTTGTTCTGGCTATGAGGAAGTGAAGAACCAAATTTTATGCTCCGTCATGGCCAAGTGTGCTTACTCTTTCTGTTGGTATATTTGCTCAATCCTTTTGTGCTGTGGCCCTGATTTTCTGATTGTTGTCATGTACAGTTTTGTCACACCCCTCTTCTGACCTTCTTTAAGGCACCCACGAGAACGTTAATCAGTGTAGCGTGGCTAGCAGAGACCCAGGCTCAGGGTGACGGACAGCTTCCTGCGTCGTTCCCTCGCCTGCCTGCCCTGGCCACTGGGGCATCGCGGGGAGCCGTCCACCTCTTGCAGAAAGTCCCGGTTGGAGCCGCTCTTCCTGGCGTGAGCCTGAAGAGGTGGTAGCTCAGGGCATTTGCACACCCAGGGGCTCTTCGAGTGGATCTATTGTTAAAAATCACATCTGCCTCTCTGAGGCCCATGCGCTCGTGTTCGTGTTCAGCTGCGGTGAGGAGGGTCCATTTTCTTTCTGCCCCTGGTGAGGGGCAGAAATCTGCCCTACATGGACTGGGACACAGGAAGTGGCAGGGCACTTTCTGTATAAAACCTTTACAGAAAGTCTGCTATGGCACGTAGACACGGTTGACTTCATTGTACTCAATAATGGTACTCAGCTGACCGACCAACTTTGAAAGCTTCCCCTTTTCACAGTGTGATGTTCTAAAGAGGTCATCTTATCTTTTTGTTTGGTTTCATTTCCTTGCAGGTAGATATAGAATTTACAGAAGTAGCAGAACTTTAGGACTTTTCACTGTGCATTACTGCTTTCCCACACTTCCCTTCTGTTATCTTATTACTTTTTATTGAAATAAAAAGGACATATATGCAGAAAAAACATATTATAAGTATATAGCTCCATGGATTTTCACAAACTGAACACCTCGTGTAAGCAGAAGGAACCCCAGATCAATGTGACATCTGTTGTTAAGCTTGCTAAGAACATCTCCTTAACCTGTTAACCCGAGCTCCCTTGGGAAACGCTTGGTGTGGCTTTGTCTCTGGTTCAGGGCCCAACACAGCG